GATGAATAAATAGATAGATAGATACACAAGTGGAGGTTGAGTGGAAAAAATGATTTTTATTCTGTTTTACATCCATAAGTGTTTATTTGCTTTGTAAAAGTGTTGCCTCCATTTTATTCTGATAAATTATCTCACATCTGGCTGCACAGTGCTCCCCAGCGCTTTTATTCTGAAGGTGCCGCGTGTAGGTTTTTAGGTGTGTTCCGGGCGGGAGTCTGCGCAGGAGCAGGTGGATCGTCGCTGCAGAGACATGTTGTTGTTGTTGTTGTTGCTGTTGTTGCTGTTGTTGTTGTTGTTGTTGTTGTTGTTTCCTCTCACTTCTTCGGGTTTTCTGCCTCCAGCTGTTTACACCGGGGCGTGTTCCTACTGACACCGGAAGTGTGTCACCGTCCGTCTCTCCTCGCTCGTTTCCTGTTGGATCCTCACTTCCTGGTAGGAAACATGGCCGGTTCCTCGGAGCAGCAGAAATTCAGCTTCCAGGAGATTCTCGACACGTTCAAACTGTGTCTGACTGAAAGTAAAGAAGTGGACCTCCAGCATTATCTGGACGGCTGGCGAGGGCTCGTGAAGTGAGTTTGGTTTCTTCTCCATTAAATCCTGTTTCCTGAGCTGGTTGTGTTTCATGTTCACTCAGAACCAGAGACTCCAATTCCATTTATTGTTTTGTTTATTTAGGACATTTAAAAAAAATGTTTTTATTCCAAAATCAGACTGAATGGTCTTAAAGGTTCAGCGTGTAGGATGTAACGACATCTAGAGGTGAAGCTTCGTGTTGCAGCTGGATACTCCCATTCCAAACATGACAGAGAGAGAGAGATAGAGAGATATCGATCTCTGAACTCCAGTCGTCATGAAAACTCAAAAGCTTTTAGTTTGTCCAGTTTGGACGACACTAAAATAAAAACATGGCATAAAGTTTTTAAATATAAACAACAATTCATAGGATTTAGATGAAACACACCAGGGAAAACATCATTATGATTATTTCATATTTAATTTCACCTAAATCTTTCACACTGGACCTTTAGGATTTAATAGTAAGTTCATATAATATAATAATAACCTTATGTATAGAGCAGGTTTCGAAACAGCTGTTACAAAGAGGACGAGTGAAAACAAGACATCAGAGAAAACAGAACAATGTCATTTAAAAACAAAGATATAAAATCAAAAATGTATGTTTGTTAAGACTTTGCATTGACTTCCAATCATAACTCATCCCAAACCTTCAACTACATCGATCGAACAATATCATAATGTGATACTCGTGCATAGCTAACAGACTGTTTTTGTCCGATCACACTTCCAGGTTTCTGAACCGATTAGGCAGCGTCTTTGGCTTCATTTCCAAAGATGCGTCCAACAAGATCCAGATCCTGGTCGGTCACCTGAATGGCGAGAATGGGTCTCAGTACGTCACCATCCAGTCGATGGTGAACTTCGAGCTGGAGAAGGAACTGGTGGACCTGACCAAGAAAGTAGGCCAACACCCTGAGTCCGGCTGCCGCACCCTGCTGAGGCTCCACCGTGCGCTGAGGTGGCTGGAACTTTTCCTGGAGCGCCTGCGCACCAGCACAGAGGACGGCAAGACCTCCGTCATGTGCGCAGAGGCCTACAACGAGTCCCTCGCCCAGCACCACGCCTGGGTGATCCGCAAGGCTGCGGGCGTGGCGTTCTGCGTGCTCCCCGGGCGTCTTGCTTTCTTCGAGGCGATGAATGTGGGCCCCCCAGAGCAGGTGGTGGCCATGCTGGGGGAAGCCCTGCCTCTAATCTCTGAGGTGTACCAGATCACAGAGAAACTTTACGCTCATCATAACCTGCTTGAATTAGCATAGAGAGCAGGGAGGGCTGTGGTTTACCTCTTTATACGTGACACCATTAACGATGTGTCCCTGGTGATGGGCTGGTGAGCGAGCTGCTACTCCTGTTAAAGAGTTGTTTATTATCCTCATGGTATTGGGCACAATTATTTCCTCATAACTACATTGACACTCGTCTGTACCTCCTGCAGATTTGAATGTAAAACTACTGTTTACTCTTGGTAATACACGTCTGAATCCTCTGTTTAATTCAGTAAATGTATTTTTGATTTAAAATGGATAAAGGAAACTGTAGGTTATCGGCTCTGACTCCTGAGATGTCGTTTTTAAACCCCTCAAATAACACTTGAGAATTGAGGCTCGACATTTAACAGTTAACCATAAATCAAATTATAAATTGATTTAAGACATTTTGAATACAACGTCAAATGTCAACATAAATGCACATCTTTTCTACATTGTTCATTCTGTGAAATAAAAGTTTTCACATTGGAAAACTTAAACTCAGATACCAATATTTTTATCGTCCAACTGATAAACCAGTCGGCTCTGCAGAGAAGTACAGTGGGAATTATTGGAGTCGTTATTTCCTGCCAACAGCTGCTTGTTTTCATTATTCATGAAAATGAGAAGATAGATTGATTCTGCTTCCTAACTTTAAACACTGGGCTTCTGCTTTACAGCTTCGTAAATGTAAGAAATTTGCTGCTTCTATCTTGTGTTTACCTCAAAGTGATTTTGTTGATTTTGAATTTGAGTTAACCAATCAATCGATAAAGAAGATAATCATTAGTTTGTAATTTTGATCCAACACCAATCATGATTTGTACGTATCGGCGAGATTCTTGTATTAATTAATGAAATAATAATAAGACCATTCATTCAAGATTCCTTTTGCTCTAATACATTATGAAATCTAACGAGTAACACATTTATCGTCCTGTCACAGAGTTGGATTTACTCTTATCTAATATGAGATTGAATTAAATGCTAATATCAGATGTTGTGTAATTTATCACGGTCGTGTATTAAGAGAAACGACCGGCAGCAAACTGCAGCTTTATTAGAAAAGTAGTTTTAAAACCGCTCCAAAGACAAAGAAAACTCTAAATGTGCCAAATGTATTTTAATGGTAAAGTGAACACACCGTAACACTATGAAACAAAAAAGCTGAAGTAAAGTGAATCTTCTGATTTCTACCAAACACTAAGAATCTGAAAATTCAGATAATTTGTTGAAGATTTAGTTTTTTTTTGTAAATGAAAAGCTCAGTTGTTTTTTTTCATTGTGATCTTTGGGCATTTTTTATTTAAAATGTGAAGAAACATCCAGTGTTGTGCAGCTAATGTACAGGAAGTGAAGTGAATGCTGTACTGATACATGCGATGTACTGTATTTTGTTAATTTATTACTATGAATTCAAACAGAACTCATCCTCACTGTAGCCTAATGAAACAAAAACATCAAAAAATATTAAAAGATTATTAGTCTGGTGTTCGATCTGATTATTTATCATCGATCTGCACTTTTTATCTGTGAAGAGTTGTTGAGGATCACGAGGAGGTGATTCCAATGTGTTGTGTCTTTCTAAATCTTTAATAAATGAGTGGTGAAGAAACCAGATGTCTTATGATTATTCAAACTCACACATGGATCCATGTGGAGAAACACTATTATTTAAAATCAGGCATCGTGGAGGCACATTCAGAGAACTGATATCAGTGAGTGTGTAAAACTTGGCGCAGCTTAATTAAATGTAAGGAAATTTTCCATAAAGAATATGTAAAGTTTCATGTTTCATAACTGGAATTACTTTAGTTTCATTTCATGCACAAATAAAATAAATATAAATAAAGCAAATTGCAGCAACATAGAGTCACAGCAAACAATTAAATAAAGATATTTTAAACACTCTGGTCATATCTGTGTGTGTATGTGTGTGTGTGTTTGTGTTCTTCCACCACCAGGGTGCGCCCTGCCTCTGATTTCGTCGTCATGACAACCAGACGTCCATGGACGCTGAAGACAGGAAGTGAAACTGGGAGGAAAACGTTCGTAAACTCGTGCGAACAGAAACAAGGTGATCGGATGTTTTGAACGTGCAGCTGAGCCACAGGGAGGAACACGTGGACACGTGGGACAGCTGTTCAAACTCTGCCTCGTTGACTTCTCGGGGAAATGGAGACTTGTTTTGAACTCAGGTGAGACTCGGGACCGAGGAGCAGGAAGTGAGTGGAAATCTTCTCTCGACAAAGACAGACGCAGCTGTGACGCTACAACATCTGGATACAGATGTGTTGGAGGAGAAGCGGTCACAGAGTTCACCTCCAGAGACTCAGAGTTAATTCAGACTCAGCTCCTTCAGGCAGGGGCCGAAAACATCCAGGCACCATTCTAGATCCAGTAAGGTGCACATTTAAGTCATCCCTTGTTTACTGATAGAAAGATGGATAGATAGTTTTTGCATTATGATTTTTCCAAAAAGGAGTAAATTGATTATGAAAAACTTCCTCGCTGTTCACTCTGTATAAGACAAGAGCCTGGACCATGATATTATAGCTGCCTCTCACACTCACAGACCAACTAATGTCAGATCAGTCTGTGACGGCTCACAGCTCCAGTCCTTAACAGGGACACTGGGATTCGACCGAGGACCCGACTTCTCTGGAGTCCCACAGTCCCTCCCCTCGTTGTCCCGGCCTGGCCAGGGTCCCGGGTCGCCATGTGGCAGCCGAGCCAGGACGAGGTCCTGCACATGCTGCAGCAACTTCCTGCTGTTCCACCACACTCCTTAAACAAGTTCAAGGTCCTGCCTCCCATAGAGCGCAGGCGGTCTGAGGTGAGTCCTGGAGGACGGCTGGACAGAAACATCCTCAGCCTGTCTGACGATACCATCCTGCAGCAGAGGCGGACCTCCAGCTCCGAGGGGGACAACAGGGCCGATGTGTCTCTCAGGATGTGGCCTAACACCTCAGACCCGGAACCGCTGGGGGCCAAAGACGGCGCCAGCGTTGGTTTGCTGTTGGCAGTTCGAGCACCGTGCGGCAGGAGGTTTCAGCAGCACTTTGAGTCCACAGACACTCTGCTGACGGTGAAGGCCAGTGCAGAGGACAGGTTCACAGAGACGTATGGGGAGGTCTCCATCGAGACTATGGACGTGCCGCGCAGGAGCTTCACGGACATGAACATGACTCTGGCCCAGAGCGGCATCATGAACAGATCAGTGCTGTGCATCACGCAGAATAATAATGACGGCGTGGAGCAACATGATTGAGCTGAAACCATTTAAAGTTTAACACTTGACATTTGGCTGCGTTGATATTTGCAGCCTCCTCCTCCGCCGTTGTTTAGCTTATTTGGACGCTTGACAAATTATATAAAATGCACTTTTAAATTACAGCTGCTCTCCTGCTTGGAAACTGTGTAAATATGAATTCATTAAGTTAGATTTGTACTTTTAATGTCACACACTTCCTCTGTATGTGTGGGGTCGTTATACTGGAGACATCAAAAAGACACAAATACAAAATCCCAGGAGAAATAAATAAAAACTGGAACAGAGCTCGGTAGAGAACAAACCAACGCACAACTTAGTTTTTATTGTAGTAATATATTGAAAAAAGGAAGTCATCAAATAACCCACATTTATGTGAAACATGAGTATAAAATATATTCTGTATTCGTACGAGCACATTTCAACATTTCCAGTTGTTTGTATGAATCAAAATGTGATAAACACCAGTTTTCAGATGAAGCTCGCCCTTTTTTATTTTTCCACTCTGAACGGAGCAACTGAATTATTTTTTGTCGGATGGAGAAGAAATAAAAACAAGACTCCTCCTGCTCACTCTGGAAACTTTATTAAAACAAACAATCACAGAGTGCATAAAGAATACAGATGTTACAGGTGTTCTATCTTTCGAACATATCGTATATTCTGAGGAAGCTCAGCAGCCGATCATTTTTAGACACACTCGTCGTCTTCCTCTGTCAGGTGCCAAAAACAAAAAGGTGTCATTTCCATAAACTGTCTCAGGAGACAGCAACTTTATGTCTTTATTTATTTTGTATCCACACAAAACTGATATAAACAACCAAGTGAAGTTCAGGGAATTCACAATCAACCACCGCTAGACTGAAACTGGCATTTTAAATGTTAAAATGCTTCAAGTCACTCAAGGATATTTTAAATCAAACCATGCAAAGATCTAGAGATGAGACATTCTCGTATCTCGTTAATACACTTCAAAACAAAACAAAGAAGAAAACCAAAACACAGCAAACCGTGAACAGTAGGATTATATCCACCCTTCTTAAACGCTGTTTTAACAGCCAGTGGTTAGTTTAAAGTCTCTGGGAGACGCAGCATAAAGGTTTAAGGTGACTTCAGTGATAAATCACAGTATCAAATGAAATCTAAGTGAAAACTCCGGCACACTGGTTTTGCATGCATCAACATTCGCATGCTTTTCTTCTGTAAACAATAAATCGCCAACGCAAACTCTCGTAAGAACTCAAGTCACAGCTGAGGTAACACGTTTCGCTGCGTCAGTCAGTGCGTGGAGCGAACAATTCAGTTGAAGTGTTTCTCCATCTCTGCAGCATCGCTTGTGTCCAGTCTTGGGATTCTCCTGTCTATTGGAGAAAGACGGAGGGGAAGAAGAAGAAGAAGAAGAAAAAAAAGGTCAGGATCTTAATATTTGCAGTTCGACATGATAAAAGTGAGAGAATTGCGAACACACCAAAATGAATCTCGATCTGGTTGAGTATGTCCATGCCGTGTTCACCGTCAACCATATTGACGGCATATCCTCTTTTGCCGAAGCGTCCCGTGCGGCCGATCCGGTGAAGGTATGTTTCGTTATCTGCATTTCCATCCAAATTCACAGGGAGGTCAAAGTTGACCACGAGCGACACCTGCTCGACATCGATACCTGTAACAGAGCCACCGACCGGTTGGAGATATTTAAAGTCGTTCCTCATCAAAGATCATTTGAAATCTGTGCAACAGCGATCGGGAAATTGAGCCGCTCTAACGACGTCCAGCCACCAGGTGGTGATTGAGATGCGTCAGCTTTACTTTTGGGAAACCGTCATGTCGTAAATCTTTGTATGAAGTGAACGATTAAGATGATCAAGATCTGGCTCTCGTCCATCTTCACCTCCCTCACCTCTGGAGCACACATTCGTGGTCACGAGCACCTTCTCCTTGCCGTTCCGATAGCGTTCGATGACCGCAGCTCTCTGCTCTACCGTCAATTCTCCACTCAGCAGCGCCACCCGATGGCCCTCTTTGATCAGGTTTACAGTTAACCAAGCTGCCGTCCGACGGGTCTGGGAAGAAAATGCATAAGCTAAACTGAAAAACCTTGATTTTCGGGGGGAAACATCCAAATACATACGGAATAACACATAATATAGTAAGAACTATACACAATAATAATAAAAGTGTATATTATGTGTAACATTGTGTAAATGGGGTCTAAATTACAGAAATGTTTAAATTCTGGAAGGTTAAAACCGACTTACACGGCAGAAGATAATGGCCTGTGCGATGGTAAGGATTCCGTAAAGATTGCAGAGCGCTGTGAACTTCTCCTCCTCCTCCTTGCAGACCACATAGAACTGCTTGATGGTGTCCAGCGTCTCCTCCTCGCGCTTCAGCTTGATGATATTTGGGTCTGGAATCACCATTTTTGCGAAATCCCACACGGAGTCCTCGAAGGTTGCAGAGAAAAGGAGCATTTGGCAATCCTTTGTCAGCTGCCTGAAAAACATTGTGACAAGAGGAGCTTGTGGAACGACCGGACAGAAAACGCTGCTTCTCATTTGAGTGCAATAAGCATTTGTAGTTTTCTGCGGAAGGAGCCCACCTATGAATTCGAAAGCTCTGATCCCGATGACCCTGCGTGGCGATCATCACATCAGCCTCGTCCAGCACAAACATGGTGATCTTCTTGGGGTCGATGAACTTGTACTTGGTGCACCAGTCGAGGACTGTGCCTGGCGTTCCAATGACAATGTGCTGCTGCAGCTTAGTGCCTCGCTCCACTGAAAACACACAGCTCCATGAAGTGATGTAACCAACAGCGGCTTGAAATACCAATTTGTTTTATTCCATCAGACGCAATTACGATCACGATCACTCTCTTACTTCTGTTGCCTCGAATGGCGTACGCCAGTTGCACATCTGGACAAAATTTCCCCATTTGCTCGATGACCTGACCGATCTGCAGAGCGAGCTCATATGTCGGCGAGATGCACAGGCACTGACAATCCAAACAGTTTTCAATGGTGAGCAGGTTTTAGGGCCTTCAGCTGAATAACAACACGGGCTGACTCTGCAGGTGACACGTTACGCTTACCTGAGTCCACTTATTGGCTGGGTTCACATGGCTGAGCATGGCCAGAGAAAAAGCAGCAGTTTTGCCTGTGCCGGACTGTGACTGAGCGATCAGATTCTGAGGTCTGCAAACACAGAAAACACACAGTCAGGCCCGATGTGAGGGATGTTTCAAAACAACTGCTGCTGAGCTATTGGCATTAAAGCAAAGTAGTTGCATATAATTTTAAAGCTGCAGCAGTAAGCTGATTGACAAAACAGTAATTAGTCACTTTTTCGATGAAAGATTAAACCCATTAATTAGTTAGCCGAGTCGATATGAGTCTTCCACAGACATATTATCAGCGTTTATGTTTGCAGATATGAAAACTTTTATTTTACCGAATAAACAATGCAGAACGGTTTATTTTATAAATTCAAGTCTTCTCTGTTGTACTTGTGTTTTCTTTTGATTTGTTTTCATCTTCTATTCATTGACGCCTCTCAGCACAACTTCTAAAGAATGTAAATGAACTCACGGTTGTGCCAGCATCATGGGCAAAGCGTTCTCCTGGATTCTGGATGGTCTGTTGAAGCCCATGCTGTACACGCCCTTCAACAGCTCAGGTTTCCTGTTAAATTTTGAGTCAAAATAACAACGAGCGTTGGGGCGAGGAGGAATAAAAAACACGTGTGTGCAAAGTCTGTGCACACCAGGGAATGTAACATTTTGTTCGTGGTGAAAATGAAAAGAAAATCAATCTACACAGCTACATGGTTGAAAGTGTGGCTTTGTGTGACATGTGACATTTTGGCACCATTTAAAAATATAGATTTCACTGAAGTTGTATTATACCCCCATAGGTTTTAGATGGTGTACCCAGCTGTGTGCATGTGCTCCTGTCATAAAGACTCACAGCCTCAGGTCCTCAAACGACTTGACGGAGTAGAGAGGAGAGTTGGGGTCCCTCTGCAGGACCTCCACCTCGTTTCTGTTCCGCACCAGAGAGCGACGGATCATCTTGTGCAGCAGGGACTGTTCGGCCGGGCCCGGCTCGTCTCCATGCTCGCTGTCCTCCGGCCCAATGTTGCCTTCACGCAGACACGCTCACGTAGTCAGCGATGTATTATCTCTCAGTCCATTAAATGAAATATGGGTAAATATTTAGGGAACTCACCATTTATGTCTCCTCTCGTTTTCAGTGAACTCTTCAATCGAACCATTTTCTTTGAAAAGTCAAACTGGATAAGAGAAAATAGAGTTTAAATCAGATTAAGATAAAATCTATCAGGCGGTCACATTGAGATCAACAACAACAGAGGGCTGAGAACAAGAAATATTCACAATCGGCAACAAACAATCAAACACAAGCAACAACAAAAAACCACAATGAAAATAAAAATATATAAAAACAGTCAAGATTTTAACAAAACATCACAAAGTAAAGATTTTAAATCTAAAAGACTCAAGTTTGAGGTGATAAGATTTAGGTGAAATAATCTATTTGCAGAAACTGAAGATAAAATAATCCTGGTCATGTTTATAATAGTGTGTTTCATCAAAATCGTAGTAATTGTTTCCTTAACTCTAGAATGAGCCCTTTATATTTAAAATCTTTATATTTACATCAGGCGGGGTCCTGATGGCCGCCACAGGTTCTCATTCATGTTTGGAAGAAGAGGGTGAGATGAGGGGTTGTTCAGCTGCAACATGCAACCTCACCACTAGATGTCACTGGATTCTACACACTGAACCTTTAAGTAGTTACTGGATCTTGTGCTGCATCAGGGTGAAATTTAAGACCATATTTAAAAATAAACAACTAATTTAAGACCCAAAAAATACGAGATGAAGATTTTCTTTGATAGAAGATCATTTATTTAAAACTATTAATAAACTTAATAAGATGACAGAATAATTCACTTTTACTGCTGGAGCTGTAGACTAGTTTGCTTTAGTGTTTAATTATGTGTTTTGTTTAATATAACCAGTTTGATTATGCCTTTGGAATAATAATGGTTTGAGCTGTTTTTACTTAGTTTTGCAGGCCCTGAGCACCAGGTGATTTTATCTACTGGGTTTAAACCAGAGAAAGTTTGAACAACAGACTGGTACAGATGAATCACACGAGGTGACTGACTCCTCTCGGTTGTGGTGAAGTTCGTTGGACCGAGTGATGCAGGGAACAATGGTGCGTGAGGAATTCGTGGTTTGTGATTATACTGGGTTTAACTGCTGGAGAGTTGATGGAGCTGCGTCAGTAAAGATTTGTCTGCAGTTAATGGCTGACACGAAGGTAAACCTCACTATATATGTTTAAATATATATATATAGAGAGAGAATATGAAGCAAACACGTGTTAGCAAAGCAGCAGGCGGGAGATTAAGCTAGCCGGGGCTAACGAGCGCAGCTAGCCGGGGCTCCGTCCATCACCTGCGGGTAAAAACTCACCTGAGCCGAAGGAGCCGTCGCCTCCTGGACGTCGACGGACAGCGCCCACGAGTCCTCGGACATATTCACACATGAACCGTGTGTCTCCGGTTGTATGTCGGGGCGGACAGACGCGGGGAGTCGGGGGGAAAAAAGTTTGATGCCCCGGCGTGAAAGTGACGTTTGGTCCCGAGCTGAGCCGACCGCTGCTGCCCCTGTACACCGGGGCCGCTTCACCCGCGTGGGAAACAGCAGCGCTTTCAAGACCCCGGGGTCACCGGAGGCAGCGGATCTGAGCAGTAAAGGCACCGCAAAACACACACAGCTTGATTTATTTAACTATACATGTTTATATGCGCTTTATTCACAGTTTAGGTCGATGCCCACTGTAATTCAGAGGTTTATAATGAGAGGAAAGTTAAGAGAAAAAGCTGATTCCAATCTTTGTTGACTGATTAAAACTTGTAATGTGGTTCCCGGCTGTGTTTTTGTTTTACAGCAGTTGTCATTTAGTTCTTCTTGTGGCTTCACGTTGTTGTTGCGCATCTGTGGCGCAAAAATAGTGAGTAAATAAAAAGCTTTAATGCAGCGGATTCAACGTGTGCGAAGATTACGAGCTGCACCTGAAGGCACCAGGGTTGCAGGGTCGAACCGAGCGTCTGGAATCAAAGTAAACAATTAATGAACTGATTCAAATACTTCTACAAATACTTCTACAAATACTTCTACAAATACTTCTACAAATACTTCTACAAATACTTCTACAAATACTTCTTCAGAAAGTTCTACAAATACCTCTACAAATACTTCTACAAATACTTCTACAAATACTTCTACAAATACTTCTATATTCATAATCCTGAGGGAGTTCCACAAACAAAGTAAACAATAGAATTATTAATGGTTTTATTTCTAACCATCACATTTTTTATTATTTATCATAATATTTATTATTATGATCATAATCATTCATGTTTTAATTTGTTAATAACACTATGAGGCAAATGTGATTTTGAATATGGGCTATACAAATAAACTTGAATAAATGAAAGGGTTAGATTTTGTAATATAAAGTATCTATCTACCTACCTATTTATCTACCTATTTATATCTATCTATCTATCTATCTATCTATCTATCTATCTATCTATCWWYYATCTATCTRTCKRTCKATCTATCWWYYATCTATCTATCTATCTATCTATCTATCTATCTATCTATCTATCTATCTATCTGTCTATCTATCTATCTGTCTATCTATCTATCTATTTATCTATCTTTTATACTTGTTTTTATTTATTGGGTACTTTTCCTGATATGACAGAATTGAATGTAGGGTTGCAAATAGACTTTCACTCAAAATGACTTTGACTTTCCTGTTATCCCGCTGTGTTTGTAACAACATACCCTCAAAATGTGAGTGGGATTTCTGCTTAACCCTCCTGCTGTGAGGGTGTTTGAGAAAGAGAGAGAGTTAGTGTTCGTGTTTGAGAGGCTGAGATCAGACAGTGAGAGGGCGGCGGGGATGGTGATGGAGGTGGAGGTGGAGGGGATGGGGAGGGGAGAGGGGGGTTATCCAGACCAAGTGTTATTGGCTGCAGGTAAATTCAATTTGGAGGCGGATGCTGAGTTTCTGCCAACCCACCCACACACACACCACACAGAGACACACACACACAGAGACACAGACACGCACACATCTACATTTTCACGACTATGAAATGACTTTATAAACACATATTAATTGTCATGGCAACCCCCTGCAGCAAGAAAAACAGATGGATCAAACCGAGTGTTCACCAAAACACAGAGACAGCCAAACACCCACGTTTGGATTTGAAACATTAAGGGCTTTCCAGTGGCACCGGGGAGGAGGAGGGAGACGTTATGGGTGATGTGTGTGTGTGTGTGTGTGTGTGTGTGTGTAGAGCTCCCTCACCCACTCAAGCCTCTTTTTTTACTCCTGGTGTTACAGTACATGTAATTTACACTGATCCCTTGATATTAGAAAGGCTACCTGGATGGTTCCTGTTGTCATCAGTGTCAGGGAGGGGGGTGGGTGGGTGGTGCTTTGAATGCATAGGGGCTGCAGGGGGATATTTATTGGAAGGATTCAATCGTCTGTTTCACCCCCTACCTCTCTCTCATTCTCCCTCTCCCTCTCTCCCTCTCTCCCTCTCTCTCAAAGCCCTCCAACTCCAGCATCCACAGGGAGGAGGAGCAGGACGAGAGGATAAATACAGTTTTGTTATCACACATCACATGTTGCTGCAGCAGCTCCAGCCTTCCCCGTCTCTGCGCTGCACCTCTAACTGGCGAGATGTGGCCACTGCATCTGTAGTGCCTGCCACCTGTGGCAGCACTTCTATTCCCTCTACGCCACAGAGAGAGAAAGAGAGATAGAGAGAACAAAAAAGAGGGGGAGTTGAGAGAGGTCTGAGAGGAGGAGGAGATCTTTCATGATAAGTGGACTTCTCACAGAGAGAGAGACCCTCGCCACACAGCCAGTTGACACAAATGAAAGGTAAGATGATGATGCTGCGTTCACATCAGATGCACTTTAATGCCGCAGTGTGTCTCTCTGATGATGCATGAATTAAAACCTTCCTGTCATTTGTCTTAAAAAAAGAAAAGGTCAACCAGTGAGATGATGATTAGAACTGCCGTCTTGAATCCTGTGTGTGTGTGTGTGTGTGTGTGTGTGTGTGTATATATATATATCTGTGTGTATGCAGGCAGTGTGTTCCAACAGGTGGTTACCACAGTGTCTGCTCCCTGTTTTGACACTAATGAGTGCAGAAGAGTGTGGCGCCGCTGATAGAAAACGTTGAGAGTTGATGGTTTTCTGGTCTTTTAGCCCCCCCCCAAAAAAAAACCCCTGGAGGGAGGCAGGGTGATTCATGTGGCTGAGCCAACCGGAGGAAAAGCACCGTGGGACTGTCACTTTTAACACTAATTACTGTGATCTGAGAGAGAGCGTAAAGGAAAGGATGCTTTAGAGGAGACAAACACCTGCCAAGCTCATTCAAATGCAGTTTTATTTACTCATTAAGTTTACTTTAATTTCTGGAAACCTTCTTTCGTGCGTGAGATAGATCTTTAAATTGACATGAATCTGTATTTCGTTCATTCGTGTTCGGTGCCTGCATGTGTTGCATCACTCAAGCTATGGTTAGGTTTTCACAAACAGCAGTGGGATCTGTTGCAGTCCATCCACGCAGGATGTGTTTGCTTTCATCGAGTCTTTCTTCATTCAAATGTAAAAAGCGATTGTTTCCAAACAAAGGGATGCATCTGTGTTTGCTTCTCAATCTGTGGTCGACTGCACACACGGGGGCACTGTTGAGACAGACGACATCATAGTCTCTAACTACATCTGATGACCTTTTCTTCACCATAAATAACCATGTGGTGCCTAAAGCCCCAGTTTGGTCATTAGAAGGACTGATTTAAATGGATATTGATTATGAAGGTCTTCTTATGCAGCCAGAGTCCTGAGTGTGAAAGGTGTGCGGAGAGACCGGATTAACATTTTTCTAAGTCAATATGATTTCGAGATGGTTTTTTTCCCCCGGTGTTTTTACTGGTGTTTCACTCGGTCACTGTGGCGTAAATAAAGGCGCACTTCAGAGATCTCAGTGGTCAGTCTGCAGGCGAGCGGACGAGCAAGCAGAGCTGTCTCTATGGAAATTGCTTTCGTCATAACACTTCCTATCAAGCCTGAGCTGGGGCTCTGGTCGTGCAGCAGACACAGACCTTTGACAGCACATAACCAAGATTGCTGGTGGAGGAGACGACATTAGCGACGAAGCACGGCCCTGGAGCAGCAGATCATTTTATTGTTGAGCTTGCATGATAAGAAACGTATTATTCCTCACCAGTCTTTTTCAACACATTTAAAGTTTCTTTTTTCCCCCTGACATGCAGCTGAATACAGACAGCCTAATTAGTTTATTTTATGGCTGTGACCTTCATTTCAAACGCTGAAAGTACCTCTGTCACCTTCCCTGAGAACCCGTTCATTTGACGTCATAGATTACTGACGTTAGCAACCTGCAAACCTGCTGCACTGAAGCTTCCATCTATGTAACACAAATGATAAAAAGGAGCAAGAAGAGGCTTTTTGTTACGGGCCTACAAAGTGTATACCTGCGACTTATCCCACCATGCTAAAGAAAGTGAAAAAACCCCTCCTGAATCCACCCGTTTATCCAGATCTGCTCCAAAATTGAAGATGTTCTTCCTCGGGTCATGCCCCACCCCTCCACAAAACCTCATGGAAAATGATTTTGCAGTTTCTCAGTAATCCAGCTGACAAATAAACAAACTCAGAGAGCACAGTCCCCTTAGGAAGCCACATTTAAATTCACACACTCAAGCATCACAAATGCACACTCTCATAAATATCAGCCCTCACGTCTGATTTGTTTTCATTAAGATCCATGAATTATTCCCTGGGAAATCAGTGAAAATGTCGAATAACAAAAGTGAAATTATACAAGAAGTGAAAACCCCACCAGAAAAAATGATTATTAACAAACTGATTAGGGTAAAAAAAATGTTTATGATTTAATCTACATATTTGAAAAGGAGTGAGAAGAAGTACACATTTATTTAATCTCACCCCTTCTCCATGAATCATTAATCAATAATCACCTTATACCTAAAAATAAATAAACACAAAATAATAAAAAATAAGGCTCTCTATATATTTATACAAATATAAACAAATTTGCATTGTTATTTATAGGAAGATAATCTAAGGAACAATAAATATTAAGTGACCAAATAAAGAAACCTGATTGTCAAATCCCCTCTTCATCAACAACCAGCTTCCAATATATGCTAATTGTATAATGTCGTTGTTATCTCATGAGGCTATTTTTCCTTTTTTCCGCATTTGACAAGCCAGTATCCTAAAACCAGCACGATGCCTGGACTCATTAACAAGGAGAACCGGAGCGCCCTGCCCCTCAGCGTCTCTGACATCACTTCCTGTGTCAGGGGTTATACTCTGGCTCTAACAGCCTCCATGACCTATGAAAATATCGAGGATCACGCCATCGAGGGTGAGTGAACACTGTACAGTACTCGCCACTTTCGATCAATTTAAACCCATCGTATGCTCTGAAACTGCTGCAAAACTGATTATTATTGACTGGATGTGTAATTGCTTGTTTGCTGTCCCTGGTTCATGCACTCATTTCTTTTTTGGTTTCTCCCTCTCGTTCGGCCTTTTAAGGGATCTTCATTTATCCCCTTGAGGAAAATTCCATTGTCGTGGGGTTCGAGGCGATGATATCCACTCAAATCATAACATTACAAATCAAGGACAAGGCAAAGATTGAGGACTGTTACCTGGACAGCTGCAACACGTCTAATGGAGGCCTGCAGAGTGGCAGCGGTAAGATTTAAACCTCTCTCATCAATATGTTGTTCTGTTGGTGGTGGAGCGATGAACCCAGAAATAATTATCGCCCAACGATGGATTGACAATAAGTGTTTTTAGTGGCTTTCAGCTCATTGTTTTGGTTTCACTGCCTTTGTTTTGGTTCCATTCATCCATTCATCCATCCATTCAACTGTCCGTCCATCCATCCAACCATCTAAATGTCCGTCCATTCATTCATCCATCAAACTGTCCATCCAATCATCCATCAGGATACTACACAGTGAGAGCCTCAGTAACTGTCTGTCAATGTGAAGTCTGATATATATTTACTGTAGTGACCTCAACTTGACTGTCTGAGGAAATACTATGTTGAATTGCACGATGGGAAATGTAGGATCCATTGTTCCGTCATTGACTGGCAGGATATCATTACCTCTGCTACTTTGATTCAGGCCATCTTCTTTTTGAAAAACATCTGTCTCCCGTTAGATATCTCTGGATTGATGAAGCCTTGATGGGTCTAACTAGAGATTAGAGTCAGATACAAATCAGTTTCATTTTATTTTTCATAAGAAACAATGGGATGTCAAATCAATAGATTCTGGTAATTTACTTTAACAAATACAGTAAATAAAATATATAATGTATGTATAATATAAATACCTTCTATAGATTTAACTCTGAGAGAAATCTTAGTATTTAAAAGACAGCAGTGATAACACAACCCCCTTTTTTTTCAAGACAAACAACTGCCTTGCTGGCTTTATTCTTTATTAATCTAAATTAAGATCCCTTGCTGTGAGTGTCTAAGTTGTTCACAGGCTTATGAGAGGTTTGTCTGAGGTATAACCGAGGCTGAAGCCTACATGTGACTTCTACATAAATCAGTAAAATGTGAAATCAGTATTCTAGGAGTGAGACCTGCTTAGGGATTAAAATAAATCAAGGAAGGTATCAGACATCAGTTACAACTCCAGACTGTTTCTGGACAACTTTACTTCAGTTCCATGTCCTGACTTTCATTAAATTTGTGTTAAATTAAAAAAAAACGCTAATCTAGTCTTCTGTTACAGGACACATAGTGCTGGATGAGGATTTGGAGAGGACGGTGTTAGTGGTTAACCTTGGAATCATCCCTCCTATGGAGACGGTCCATATTCTGGTCAGTACCTCCTCGGAGCTCTCCACCCTGCCCAACGGGGGCATCAGGGTGTCATCCCCACCGGTGTGCACACCTCGAGTACAGCGGACGATCAATGAGGAGCAGGGACTGTCCCCAAACTTCTCCAGAACGTAAGAAAAAACGAATGCAAACAATAATTATTGACATTATTGCATCTTCAAATTCCGTGTTTTGGTGCAGTTAACTGAATATTTATGCCCCAAATAGATGCATGTGTAGATGGAAACAACATTTTCTATGTTCCAAGACGATGGCTCAGTTTTAACATGGTTATATTTGCCACTTTTAGGCGGGACAGACATTCCTGTGCCACAAGTCCTCACGATCAAACCCCCAACTCTCCTCAGCTGTGGTTGACCTCGCTGCTGGAGGAGGAGGCCATCAACTCCATGGACTACAAGTTTAACTTCCAGCTGGAGATACGCGCTCCTTACCTCCTCGCAGGTGAGAGAGCTGACCTTTTTTCTCCGAGGGCAAACCTCTCCACTGGGGAATACTGATTTTGGTATAATGCCACAATCAGTCGGTCACTTGAGCTGTTCACTGTAATCAAGCTGTGCAGGTCTGTGCTGTTCTTTAATTGTGAAGGGAGAAACACATTTCAGCTCAGCTCATTTGTGTGAACAGCAGATCCTGAGCTGTAACATTACTGCTGCTGGAATGATTATAATATGCTCGGCCATTTGCTTGCCAAGGGTTAAATGATATGATACCACTGTCATGTCTGTTCAGTGTGGAGCCACAGTCTGAAGATGGTATTAGTATTCAGTCATTTATTATCCCACGCAGGAAACTTGGCTTGCAATCAGGTGCACTAGACAAAAGAGAACAGAACAGTACATTACAATATATATATTTTACACACAGTGCCCTTCAATTCAATCAAACTGCACCAAATGTCACACACTCAGAAATCAGTCTCGTAAATATGCCTGATTTTCTGTCATCAAATCCACAAATCCCTCTTTTGGAAATCAGTGAAAATGTCACAAACGTCTTGTCCTTGCGACGTTAAAGAACAAATTTCTGGATCGTTCCAAATGTGATGGGTTCTTCCATCCAAGTGTCAAGAAAATAGGTTCGGTATTTTATTTTTGAAAATCCTAGAAACAAACAAAATGAAAACAAAACCTCCTTGGCTGATTTCTTGGCCGTGGGGACAAAGTAGTAATGGTTTAGCATAGCTTAGCATAAAACCACAAACAGTGAACTTTAGAATATGACGGACAAAAAGAACAGTGTCGTAATTAAAATCAAAAATTAATCCAAACATTAATTAAGTAAGTGATGAACAAATTCTAATTCTGTATTTCTATATTTGTTCATTTTCCTCTGCTTTCATTTATTTCTACATTTATGAATATATTGATGTATTTCTACAATTAATTTCTACGTTTAACAATTTTACGTTTATTTATTTAAACAGTTATTTATTGAATTCTATTTATTATCATTATTTGTGAGAAATTCTTGGTGGGAGATCTTATTCTGTTGGGAGCCATGTTCTAACAGCAGCGGCACATTTATCTTGCAAACATTAAAGTGGAGCTCATCTCACACATTTCTCCTTCAAACTTGACAACTTGATGATGATTTGAGAATCATAGAAATGTTTATATATTCATATATGAGCATAATAATTACACATTATTTATTCTTCATGTTTTCTCAAACTGTGACAGGACTCGAAAGCATCAGTGTGACAATTATACGTAATTACGAGTTGTTTCCACGGCTCCTGCTGGTTTGTTATTAGTTGTCATCACAGGAGGTGAAGCTGCCGCTGGTATTTGATCTGCGTTTGGTTTTTTTGCCCCGTGTAGGTGTCGAGAGCCCCTCTCATGCCATCCGAGCTGATGCGGACCCTCTGGCCCGCTCCGCCACCAGCGTTGTCATCACTCTGGCGGACAAATACACGTACGACTGCCCTGTCAACATCCTCATTTACCCCAGCGGTAGGTGAACAGCTTCGAAACTCACTCGTACACACGCAATTAAAAATGAGTCATTGGTGTCGTCTAAAGTAAAATATTCGGAGAGAAGCTTCTTGTAAATCAGATCAGTGGTGAGGTGATTCGCTGCCTCACATTGTGTTAACAAGTGTCTCGTCTGGAATAAAAGGCCCTCCTGTTGTTATTGTCTGACATACCAGTGCAGTCTGTCTCCATTGTGTGGGTGTGCTGTGTCAGGTCTTTTTTTTTTCTACCCCTCACCGCTGCCTTGACCTACAGTGTGTGTGTGGGCCGGTCGTGTCCCAGAGGCAGGAATGAGCCTCAGCTTCTCTGATCCAATAGTTCTCTTACTGGGGCCTCTGCTCACAAACAGACCTGCAGCAAGTGCCGAGCAATTTAATTCAGCTCAGACCGCTGCTGCAGTTTCAATCACAACATGGATGCTCAGGAGAGATGGAGGATGTGGCTGCATCACAGGAACGCATGTGCACCAGCTTAGTCAGTTCACAGCCGGAAACACACACAGAAAGACTTCCACAGAGTTAGTTATTTTAAGACTTGTTTCACTGTCAAACTGAGAATGAAAGATATCAATCAATACCAGTCGGGGAGTTAACACGAAGAGGTTATGAACTTATTGATGCGATCACATTTATTTTTTGTTAGTAGTACTTCAATATTCAAGATGAAATAAGTATAATCGTATAAAAAAACTTTTGCAGGGAAGCTCCATCAACATTGTGTACAGTAGGTAAGTAGGTATTAAAAAAGACAGAACAGTTGTAATGGTAAGATAATTAAAGAGTAGAATAAAATATGTATTTACCAAAGAAATACATAATTAATAAAATAATAATTAGTCAGATGTAACAGTGAAGACTTAATACTTGTGAGTGTTTGGATCAGTATTAGCCAATGAATTAAGGTTTGGGAACGACAGCACTTTACAAAAGCATAATTTACAAAAACCTTTCACAATCAACGTTACTATCTTAAATACTAGTTATCAGTAGATTAGTACAAATACATTCATGGTCCCCAGAGGATAGATCCAGACAAGTTTTTTGGTCGTCTGGTCAGTAGTTTTTTTGTAATCAAAAAAACACACCAAACAATCAAACTGAAAACATGACCTCCCTGGTGGAGGAAATGATTTAATATAAGGTTCACATGAATTTGACATGAATTTGACATGAATCCCAGGATTCTCTCATCCCACTGAACTCATAGTTCTCTTCAGACGCAGCAGCGATGCAGCATCTTTATATGCAATCACCTCTTAATTTCCACATGAGCACGAGGAGCCTTCTGCGCTACAGATTCCCACTGCAGGTCTTCCAGGTCCTGTCCACCTGCTTTACAATCTGCCTGCAAAATATATTCAGTTGTGTCTTTGTCTTGACCGACTGTGTCACTGTAGAGCCTCATCTGCCCCATGTGCTCATCGAGAATGGAGACATGACACAGGAGGAGTACGATGAGTATCTGCACGGCCGCAGTGATTTCATCAAGGCCACTAAGAAGGACTCCAGCAACGAGAGGAAAGTGAGTGTGTCATCGATGTCATTTACCTGAATCGAGGACAATGATGTCGCAGCAGTATCACTTTGAGGAGGGGGGGGGGGGTGAAAAGCACACGACAGCGCGGTATCCTGAACAGTTCCCTGAAACAAACACCATCGTTTTGAAAGTGCGATGACAGTGTCATGTTATTTTGTTCTATCTTGAAATCTGAGGGAATCAAACACAAGTGTAGTCTCTGGTTTCAAAATGACAATGTCCTTGATTAAGCTATTTTGTGAAATATAGTGAGCTGAATATTTTTTTGGGGAAATCTGCAAAGATAAAGAGAACGTTTCAGATAAAGAGTTATTTGATCCATAGACGGGTTAGAAAAAAAGAAAGATGATTTGATTTATTTGTCACATGTACAGGGATACTAGGTAAAACATGTGTGGGGGGGGGGGGTACTCTGTTTATTGTGCAGACACACCAAGGGATCAACAATAAAAACTAAATAGTTAATTACGATTAAAACTTAATTTCGACTATTGATGGCTATCGAGACGTGAAGAGGATTTCAATTAATAAAATCCAAAGTGTTTCACAAACAACCCGCCGTGATCTAAAGTAACATTACATCATCATTGACTGTCGACCTTTCTCCGTCTTATCAGCACCGAACTGCGTCTGGAACAATTGTCGTGAGCTATAACGGAATAAATAAATGTCTCATTGAAACTCATTAAAACGAATAGGAACATAACTTCCGACCAAAATAGCTGTTAGCAGTTTCTGTTTCCATTGCATTGACAGTTATGACTGGATAATTAAGATACTGAGGAAAACATGAAATATGATGATTCATTGGCAAGTTCTGCAGTTTAATAGCGCCTCTTTGGTTTCTCCATGTTATCATATACATGTAAAGTGTAAGTGACTCCCACGTCAGATGAGGGTTGTGTACAAAAAAAGCCTATAACCTCTCTGATGTTGGAAACTGCCTTTATACAACCCAAATAATTGCCACCTGCCCAAATCAATTTTTCAAAGCCCATTTACGGAAAAGGAATCCGCACCAGTTCCAGTCCAGTGCAAACATCTGTATTATTATTTTTCGAGCTGCCCGGCCGAAGGGCTTTGTTTCCTTTACTTCAGAGACTTGTGTGTCTCCATCTCGGCGGTGATGAGGTTGTTAAGTGACCAACAGACCTAAACAGGAGAAGGAGCGAGAGCACTTGGCCATAAAAACAGGTTTCTATGGAAACACTCCAAAGGCTCACCACAGTCTTTCCCTAGAATTTCCTGCACATCTACAATAATTGATATGCTCCGTCTGTCGCCCCGGTCGCTTGCCTCTTTTATCTTTTGGCTTCCTTAAGTGTTAAATTAAAGCCTGCTCGAATTCAGAGAACTCCCCGTTAATTCAAATCCTCTAAAGTTCATGCTTTTTTCCTCTGGTTCCTGCGTCCTCACAGGTGGATATCATTCACAGGCGGCTCCATAAGGACATTCTCCACAACCCTGTGGTCATGCTGAACTTTTGTCCTGACCTCAAGTCCATCAGCTCCGACCTGAGGAAGGTGCACGGCGAATTCATCTTCCTCATCGACCGCAGCGGCAGCATGAGCGGGGTCAACATCAACCGCGTGAAGGTATTTTAATCTCAGTGTGTGTGTGTGTGTGTTATTACTTCTCATATGGATGCCGATCCATTGAGGCGGACACTGATTTACATATAAATTGTAATATATATCGCACACGAGCAGCAGTTTAAAGATGGATATTTGCGGATTAAACATCAAACTTGAAATGTTTCTAAAACCAAACACGTAAAAAAAAAAAAATCTACATGTTTTTAAAGCGATTAAACAGAAAACACATGACGAATATGATACGACAGGAGAGAGGCTGAATGAGAGGCTGTATAATTGCTTTCTGGGCTCGTAGCCAAAGCGAACACTCAGTCTGGACAGATTATAGACGTGGTTAGCCAACTGTGTGAAGGGCATGTACACAAGACTATTGATCAGACAAATCACTCACGGTTCACCAAACATCTCAGCTGCTACCGAGGCTTCGACATTCTATCAGAGCTCATGTGAGGTTTATTCCACACCTACATTCACGCCTCACATGTGATGTAACATGTTTGTGAGTGTTTGTCTGCGTGTGCATCGACCCTGTGATGTGACGTTTGTTTCTGACTCAGGCTTTTATATCGGATGTGTCTCTCGTACTAACGATTCTGGGCTTAGCGCCAGGATGAGCCCGACGCTGGTGATGTGCCGAATATTTCCCAGCACCAAAGAGGGTTACGTTTTCACCCCGTATTCCATTTGTGTGTTGGTTTGTTTATCAGCGGGATCACACAAGAACTACCAAACCAGCTCCAATCAATGGTGACCTGCTCTGGCTTTAAATCAAATGAGTCTTTTCTGTTTCGCTGATGTTTTGCAGACGCACCACACATCTAAAGTTATGCTGCTGGGTGAACTTGAAACATTGATTTGAAAAACAAATGTTTGTTTCTATCTTCTTCATGACGATGATGACACGTGGCGTTAACCTTGGTGGAGGTATGAGCTGCCCTTTTAGTTCTTCTACCAAGGAAGTTTACGCAAATACTTTTCAACTGAACCCTTGAAGTTTCCAGATAATATTTATAACTTCCTTTAACATTAACAGGTTTTTTTGGGGTCATTTTCATGATTGTGCACAGTTTGGTGCAGATCCCAAAACAAATATAAATATTTTATAGCGGGTAATCTTGTTTTGTCTTTATCCACTCTTCCACATTATGGTTTGATAGATATGATCTGCATTGTTTTTGTGAATTAATTTAAGGGGCCTGTTGGGCCATAGCAGAGCTACGCAGTCTACTGAGAGCTATTCCAGATACCACTGATCTTTCAGGGAATCTCACAGAATAGCTAGAGCATTAAATGATCATTCTTTTCTTTCTTAATGTGCCTGAATTGCTTTATTCTTGATTGTCTGGCTGATGTGATCTCTCTGCTCTTCTTCTTCTTAAAACGTAAAAAGGTTGAGACGAGTGTTATTCTTCTGGAAACTGCTGTAGAGGAGACAGTGATGGATGTAATGCTACAGAATTACCCTCTCTCTACACTCACTCAGCTCCCGGAGAGAATCTGCTGTGCAGTGATGACAGCAGAACATCATGCTTCCATCAGCACACGTAGTTCTACTGCAGTGACGATGATCAAATACTCCAACATGACATGAGGCACCTAATGAGCAGAGGAGTTAGTTTCCTCTGTAAGAATGTCAGAATTTCACAGCCTCTGTTCTTCTCTGTTCTCTGGACGTGTTCTTCGTCTCTTTCTCAGGACGCCATGGTGGTGATTCTCAAGAGCCTCGTGCCCGGCTGCCTTTTCAACATCATTGGCTTCGGTTCGACGTTCAAATCACTGTTCACAACCAGCCAGCACTATGAGGAGGTAAAGGAGCTCTGTGCTGCACCGACACGTGAGCTGACACATGTTCGCTGTCTGTTTACTCGTCAAGTTGTAGCTTACAGCTTTTTGGCAAAGCTTTTAAAAACAGCCGGCACTGAAAGCTGCTTTTCAAAAGTTTGAGAATATTAATTAGTTAATTAATATTGAATGCGTCACACGTCCACATCACATCAAAGTCAACCCTGCACTTCCCTGGACCCTTCACAGCCGATAAGATGAACGGTTCTCGTCCTCTGACCAGAATGTCTTCCCCATCTGCCGAAGTATCCTTGGGCACGATCATAGTGAAATAGAAAAATTGCTTTCCACGGATGCACTGTATGAATGTGTGTGAACTGCACTGTAAGACTGTAAGACCAGAAAAGCGCTATATAAACACAGACTAATTACCATATGCGAGTCACAGAGAGATAGTGTGTGTAGCATTTTTCTATTTTAGTTGCTCTGTTGTGATCTGTGAATTTTCTCTTCATGTTCGCCCCCGCACCACGATACACCCAGGAGGTCGTGTCCCTGGCCTGTGAGTACGTCAGGAAGATCAGAGCCGACATGGGGGGGACCAACATCTTGGCGCCACTCAACTGGATCCTGAGACAGCCGATGTTCAGCGGACACCCACGCCTGCTGTTCCTGCTCACCGACGGGGCCGTCAGCAACACAGGCAAAGTGATGGAGCTGGTCCGCAGACACGCACGCTACCTCAGGCAAGTGTTTTCACATTTAGCCATCGTGCTGAATGTTTGAGACAACAAAGACACATTGCAGAACTAAAAAAGGGAACTCAGCCGAGCACATACCTTCACCCAACAGCCACCTTTCAGGTCATTCAAGCTGCATCACTTTTCACACTCTCATAGACATCAGTTTTGTTAAATACGCCTTTTTTTCAGCATCAAGATCAATGAATTATTCCCCGAGAAATCAAGGGAACGTTTGAAAAGTTGATCCAGATCCGCACAGGAAGTGAATGCGTCCTTCCAGCGACCCCGTACTGCAGCCTGAAGTCCTGTCAGTTATTTTTGCATTATCTTGCTTACAAACACAAAAACCAACAAACTAATGGACAGGGCTGAAAACATAAACTGCTAAAAGGAGCTAATTATTATGATTTTTATCTACACATACGTTCAATGAGTATGTTTCTATAAGGTCCCGGAGTTAAGATTAAATAAATCAAATGGAAGCTTATTAGAAAGCACTGTCACAGTAATGGCACAGACAGAGAAATGATAATACATTCCTCTTTTGTTTATAGTCATTATGCAAATAGCAAAAGCTGAGCTCACCGATAACACAAGTCTCACATCCAGGGATTGTCAGGGACTTAAATGCAACACCTGGTTATGGAGCCATAATCCTTTCAAAATGAAATCATACAGCTTATGTTGTGTCAGAGTCAAACATTATATATCACTACAAGGAATCTGTCAGAGTGCCGACATTTGTGCGGGCTCAGTTTTAGATTAAAACGACACAACGGAATAAGCACGTGTGAACGCTCCCTGCACAATGTGAACAGCAGCTGTCAGCTGAGAGCGAGCACCGGTGGCGCCGCAGATCTGCGGCACACGGGGAAATCATTCCTCTTTGCAGTTTGCTTTGGATCTCACACTGTGAAGCCCTCTCCTGAGTCACTCTGGAAATAATTGACTTTTGTATTCCCCCTTTTAATGGCTGCCTGCCCCCAGACGATTGGTGCACAGAGCTCGGCCCATTCGCTGAAGCTTCCCAGGTCATTATCACGCCAGGCTTCCAATCAGAGACAAGATCATACAATGGTGAATCTGTGGTTTGCGAAAAAAATCCATGTTGGGTGTTTAAGTATGTAGGTAGGGACATTTGCGCTTTTAAATCTGCCCTCGACCTCATTAAAAATTCCAAGAGACGATGCTGGTGCAATGAAATTAGCCAGGTCGTTCTTCTGCAAACAGCGGAATTAAAATGAGGAAATAAAGCAAAACCCTCCAACCTCTCTCCAGAGATCCCCAGGCTATATTTGTTAAATGAACTTCTATATATCTCCATTGCATCTCTTTAAAAAAATCTGTCTCCGTTTATCCTGACAAAGCAAACAAACAACAAATCCTCCGGTCGGTTTTTACATCTACACAAATAAAAGAAATAGGTTCGCATAAGATACTTCAACTTTTAATCGATGAACTTACAAACACAATATCTAAGAACAGCTAACATTAAAAAACTTGTATGACCAAAATTGTACGTACCTTGAAGTGGGAGACACACACACACACATAGAGGTACAGGTATTAAACCTTCCACAGTGTCACTGCAGGCCTTCACATACCAGGTAATAACTATGTGCAAAGAATGTGCAGCTAAAACAATCACATAAAATGAAATAAATCAAATCACTGCTGTAAAATGTGCAGTGTTACACACATCCTGAGCTGCCGTGTTTGTCTGTGCAGATGCTTTACGTTCGGCATTGGGCAGAATGCTTGCAGGAGGCTGGTTCAGGGGCTGGCGATGGTTTCAAAAGGGACGGCAGAGTTCCTGGCGGAGGGCGAGAGGCTGCAACCCAAGGTACTAATTTCCAGCTTTGCGTATCGCTCCTGACGACGGTGAGCTATTCTGAGGGACCACTGAAGAGCCATTATGCAGCGTCTGCTGCTGATACCAATTAGGAAATCAGATATCGTCATGAAGGAAGCTGGGTTTTATATCTGAAAGTATGTGTTTTTATTCCTCCACAGTTGATAAAGTCGCTGAAGAAAACCATGTCTCCAGTGCTCAGTGACATTTCCATCGAATGGCTCTTCCCCGAGACTAAAGAAGTGCTGCTGTCTCCTGTGGGAAACACATTCCTGTTTCCTGGGGACAGTCTGATCGGATACAGCGTGGTTTGTGACACCACCCGTTACCACGTCAACCCCAAGTCTGTAAGTGGACGATCCTCGCTGAGAAGTGATTAATGACTGAGGGATGACTGTGATTTTCTGTGTTGTGAATGTTCCAGCAGATGAACCTCAAATCACACCCTGTGGTTTTATGTTTACTTCAGTGACTTCACTAGAAAACACTTTTCTGTTTCCTCTGAAATGGGTTTGAAGTAAATCCCGGTGGAGATGAAAGGGCATGAGCTCAGTGGCGGACTGCCCGTCAGGATATGACAAGCAATAATATAGAGAGCATCATCATCATCTCTGCAACCTAAGATATTACAGCGCCGCTCTTTTAAATTGTTGCAGCAGCCGTGCACGCACTTCTGATAACATTATACAACATCACCGGTGAAATGGAAGTTTGAGGTCAGAAGAAAAGGAAACGGTGGAGCAGAGAAGGAGAGAATTAAGAAGAGAAATGTCTTTTCTCAGATGCAGCTCAATACTGCAAAGTAATCAACATGTTCCCCAGGAAGGGACCAGGTCAGTGGAGTGACCCTCACACGGAGCAGGAGTGCCTCACTCCGAGACACAGGGTCAGACGACCCGACTCAGTCGAGCGTATTCGGTTTACTGAAACTATTTATAATCATCATATTATGGACGTTAGATTTGTTTTCCACACAAGTTCTGAGGGGATTAAAGTCTCACTCTGACAATATCAGGACGATCTGATGTGGAATTTCAAAGTAAAAGCCCTTGGAAATATCTTATTTTCACTGTTTTGGTTGTGGCATCAGAGAAGGACACTCTTATGGCACCTGACAAAGATGACGTCATTGAAAAGATGGTGAGCCTATATAATTATCGGCCTGAGTCATTGTCCCAGTCGGCCCCTGGCTGAGCTCAACTGAGCAGAAGCTTCTTAATCACTCCATGTAAAAGGTTTTAGAACTGAGCCACTTGTCTTGGATGTGTCTCACATCAGGATAAGAGGAGGCGATACAGCATGATGCGCTCCACTGAGTCAGCCAGCTCCGTGTTCTTCCACTCTCAAGAGGAGGACCCGGTGAGGACGAGTGTGGACAGGGAGGCGCCTCTGTATGACTCCTACCAGGACTCCATGACGGACGGCAGCCCTGTCACCACGGAACAAGACACCTCGGGTAAGAACCTCCTATTTACTGCTTATAAAAATGCACCTGAGACTCCAGGTCTGGAAAGTGAAGCCAATGAGGAAGTGCCTGGAAACCTGCATTCTCTCGAATGGCCACCAGAGGACAAGTCAGTTTCTATAGATTTCACTGATGAAATGAATCGAGTTTATTCCTCAATCTCTATTTTCAAGTCTTCAGGGCTGCACTCAATGTTTATCTTTCAGTGGATGGATGTAATATGGTTTGTGTTTTGAAATAAACCTCAGGGTTGGATAAGACGTCACCGAGAAGGCGGGCGTACAGCACCAACCAGATAATAGACTACAACCCAGCGAAGAAGGTCTTCACTCCCAGCGACCCCAGCTCCGTGGTCGCCAAGAATCCACTGAGGAGAGCAAAGGTCCAGGAGCTGATCGGTCAGATGAGTCCAGAGCACGAGGCGCAGTGGAAGAAAGACTACCAGGTGTGATCCACGTTGTAGCTCAGGTCTAGTTTCTAAAAGGGCTCAATAATTATTTCTGATTTAATTTGTGGGTTTTTTTCCCAGACTGAGATTTCATGAACCATCACGATAATAATAAAGCATGTGCTGTGTATGTTGAATCACACACTCATTACACAAGTCTCCATCCGGCAGCAGAATCTAATTTTGTATTTGGAAAAATTAAATTTGTATTCAGACTGTACTGACAAATTAAACCGAGACCCGACCCTTGTCTGCACTGGTGACTAACCAAGAACAAGCTAATGTGCTCTCTTCAGTAATGAAGCACAAAATCCATGAATTATAATTAAGTCTAAATATTTCTCAGGTCGCTTCCTAATATAATTAAACAGAATTCAGCAGGCTGTGGAGAAATTATATCCTCTCTTTGTAAAACACAGCTGAGGATTCTTTGCCCTCATGCCACGCCTAATCAATCCAAATCTAATTATCTGGAGCAAACAGTAATCTTATTTTTACACAAATAGAAATAGAAATTGCCTTTTGGATATAAAATGTCATCACTTCATAATTTTATCCTGACATTTTGTAGAAATTGACTGGATTAAAATAAATTCAGCAGATGAGGTTTGGTGTGTAATTAAAATCCGTGATAGGACCAGGGTGTTTTCAACTGAAAAAAAAAATCATTTCGTGTTTTCAGCCACAGTTGGCGAGTCTGTGCGCCACATCTTCCAGAGGGCGTCCTGCCATCTGCCATCGGCCGCTTCCTCAGCAGGAGCCGCCGCTTCTGCAGCAGGAAGCCGACTCCGAGCCTCATTTCCATCTGCAGCCCCAAGACAATCCTCTGCCCAGCGGTTTGCTGCCAGCAGCTCAAAACACCGCTGGGGAGGATGCATCTAGATCCTCCACCGACAGCCCATCTGTCGGCAGCGGCGGAGATACAGGTGAAGCCACAAACCAAACTGTATTCATGTATTCACTATCTCTGTCTGTCTATCTATCTATCTATCTATCTATCTATCTATCCGTCCGTCTGTCTTTCTGCCATGTGATGCAGCTCTAGTGAATTTAGATGTGGTTGGGCCGTGGCAGAGCGATGCATTATACTGAGTGCCAGTCTAGTTGTCTAGTGTTCTCTTTATTTATTTTTCTATTATTTTATAGCATCTTCTAAATCTCAGGGTTATTACAGCTTCATTGTATTATTCTCCACAGATCAATGACAATAAAGAATCTTGAATTCTTTAAAATTGATGCAATAAAACATTCTAAAGATGATTTATATATATATATTTTAGTTTTTTAACATTTTAACGGTCTTATTTCATTATGAGAGAATCTCCAAGTGCACACAAGTTTCATATAATCCCCCCCCGCCCACAACAATCCACCGCCAGCTACACGAAGCGCATTTTTATGTTCCCCGATAGAGAATCCTCAAAGCAAGTTGCATCCAATGTCGTCCTGAGTATCACAAAATGACTTTAAACACAGAGCCTCATAAATTGTTGTTTGTATTTGAATTTAATGAATGAATTGATATCAGGGGACGGTTTTAGCATCTTGTGAGTCTGTTGCTCCTGCAATTAAGGAGGTAAACCTTAAAACCACTTGAGCTTTGCCTTTTAAAGAGCAAACCTCTGGGGCACGAGGGATTAGGAGAGAGTATACCTCGAAATATATCTATGCAAGCATCACATGAACTGCACCAGAGTGTGACAAGGTTAAAGCAGGAATAAAACCTGTGGAAATGTGCTGCAGGTTTTAGGTAAAGGGCCACCGGGCTCTATACGAGGATCCATGTCTGTCTGTGTGTTATTCAGGGAAACCTCCCAACGGTCATTACTCAGCTCCTCACTCAGGTCAATTTCCCACTGCTGCCTAACATCCGAAATTGAGGGCGTAGAGCTATTACAGATATCATGTTATACAGAGCTGATATGGAATCTCGACTGAACGGAGATAATTACATAATGCTATCAACCGCAGCGTGTGTCTGTGAATCTGGAGACAAAAAGAACGGACAAAATGAAGCAAGAAATAATTTAAAACTGATTTATTTCCCTCTTTATGACAAATCTGGAAAATAATAGGAAGGTTGTGGTTTTCTCACATTTTGGAGATTATATTTCATATGAATTATGTCCAGATGTTTTGTAAGTCATAAACATTTGAAGAAGTTGCCTTTTTTTTTTAAATAGCTTTGCCTGAATATATTCAGCACGTTAAGGATCTTTATCATAAAGGGAGTTGATCATAAAATCATAGTAGTTATAAGTTGCATTGATGCTCAAAACTCAAACTGACATTGATTGGAATTGCTCTATAATAAGCTAAGTGGCTTCTGTCTGTAGCTTCATATTTAATGGACGGACAAAGGAGTGGTATTGATCACCTCATTGAAATATCACAAAGAAAGAGGACAGTTCCCAGAACTGTTCTTTTCAAATGGTGTAACATGAATCAGCAGATGGTTTTAATCAGAAGCTGCTTTGAAAGTAACAAAAGAGGAACTGAGGCAATAAATTTAACTTTTGATTCAAACCGAAACCATCACAATGGATTTATAACCCTGTCTGCCAGCACGGCTGGAATCAGGGAAATGTTTTCCCCCCGTGTGTTTGTGTGTGTTTCCCAAATAACTCAACAATGTACGACAGATTTTTACCAAACTTGGTTTATTAGTTGTGAGTTTATCTCCAGATGATTAACTTTTGGGAGCTGATCGGTTACAGGTCAAGGTAAACAAAAGTAAAGTCAGAGAAAAACACATTTGACAGACATCTCCGCAAATAATGGCGCGACCTATTAAGTTTATCTTGATCATAACAATCTATAAATGTCATATGATAAGTTACGTCATGAGGAAGGAAGGACATTACGTCGTGCACAGCAAATAAACAATATGATGATAATTTATGATCATATGGGAGTAATGACGTCATCGTGACATCACCATGAAGTCACAGAATGACGTCATATAGTGTAATAGTTCTTTTGCAACCAATAAGATTAGAGACACGATCTAAAGGTTAATTATATTAATCATCTTGTGTTATATGACGTCATTATAAACGGCATTATAACAACATAGCTAACAAACTTAGCAAAGCTGGATTTGGGTATAAACAGGGAATGCATCGCCCGTCTGCAGCTTTTAGTTCTGTCTGTTTCAAGCCCCTTTGAAATGCATCTTGTCAGATGAATTCAAATCCAGTCGTAGATAAGAAGCTCTGAAAACAATGTCTTAAAAAATGAAGGAATTGAATCTTGTTCCTGTGACGTTTCAGACGGGTATGGGCACCAGTTGTGTCAAGCAGAAACACCACAGGAGACGCACATTTCACATCTGGGCGCTGCCAACCACCACAGAGCCGACTGCAAGGCCGTGGTGTCCGGGCTGCTGTGCGGCAAACCCATGAAGTGGGAGGTGTTGTTCGACATCGAGCCGTACCTGAACGGGCGGGAACGCGAGGAAAAGGTTCACGAGGAGCTGTGGAACGAGACCTTCCACCACCTGGCCGGACACTCCATCATACACGACTTCGAGCACATGGCGGATAAGGAGTGTGAGATCGAGCACGGTGAGATCTGTGGGGAAGTGTTCGGAGGGAGATCTGGGGGGTGAAATTATTATGAAGGAACAGGAGTAGAAAATGAGAAATTACATTTTTATCTTTCTTATATTTTGCTGTTATCTCTTATCTGCTTGTTTAACATAAGAGTTGAAATTGTATAAAAACTTAAAGGAGCAGTTTCATCATGATTGTATTATTTTAGAGTTACATGAGAACATTGATGACACTCTCATATATCACACAAGACTCGTTAACGTCATTGTGACACTGACCTGTATCTTTATATTAAATAAAAACATATGAGAGTGACATTTATCTTCTCATGTCACACTGTTCATTTAATTTGTGTAAAGGTTATGTATACGTCATGTGATGCAATGATGTTATTCAAAAGAATAAAGCAAAGTCTGATGTTACATAATCATTTATTGTAATTCACAGGCTCTGGCAGGAAGTACCAGCATTATGCTATTCACACCAGCAAAGCCTGCAATATACTGAGCAAATACACAGCGTTTGTTCCCATCGACCTGGACACTAACGAGTATTTACAGACGTGCATTGAACACTTAAACCCTGGTAAGTCAGATAAAACTCATTGTTTGAACGTTTAAGTGCCACTGAACATAACCTGCAAAAACGTCTCTCCGTTTTAACGTATCTTTCATTTGTAGTTAAGCAGTTATAAACCAGTTTGGTGTGTAAATTAAAATTTTGTAATGTGCCGTCGTGTCTGCAAAGTTAGTATCTTATGAAAGGAATATTTTTTTGCGTATTTACTCTCTTGCTGAGAGTTGGATTTGTAGAATGAGACCATAGGCTGGAAATAAAGATGGACGACACATCATCTCTTCCTCCCGTTCTTCAAAAATACTGCTAAAAATATTGGCCTGTCCCATCCGCTAACATGAAGGAGGCAGTGTTTGTGAGCTATACCGCAACCAACCACCAGGGGGCAATCTAGATGATTTAGCTTCACTTTTGTGGAGCTGTCATGTCGTCCATCTCTAGAAACAGTGTCTGTGTGTGAAAGTTAATATGTCTTCAGCAGTTATCCAGCTGTGGGTTATTCCCTCATGATCTCATAGATGTCTGACGTTTGCCCAGAAAGATAAAATGTTTGCCAGACGCGACCCCGTGTTTAATTTGAGTCTAGATAAATATTAATTGAAGATGAGCTGGGCAAAGTAAAATATGAGATTTAAATGTTGGTTTTGCTGTGTGCTGAATTTCATCATTTGGAGCAGAAAGGAGACATCTGTGATCACAAGAATATCTCTCTGACTTTTCCCATTTGGTTTGCGTCTCAGTTGGGGTTTGACTGAACGGTTATTTCAGTCTGAGAATTGAATTTTTGCTTTCAGCTGAAGGTCTGAAGAAGGGCTCACACTCCAGCTCTCGCTCGGGGAGCAGGAAGAACAAAGGTTACTCCATCGGACTGGGTCGCTCTCAGTCTGGCGGCATGTCGCAGGAAGCTGAGGACGTCCAACTGCTGCCGAACAGTAGGACGCATTCTTTTTTTAAAAATATTCAGCTCACATCTCAAATGGTTAAACAGCAGATGGAGGTTTAAAAGAAAAAGTTGAAGGGATGTTTTACTTAGAGTCTTATTCAAATGTCTTAGAGATAAAAAAAGGTTGCAGACACTGGGAGCTGGGAGATGTTGAACAAGAGTTGCCCACTGCTTTACAGTAAAAATACTCCAACTTCTGCAAAAGGGCACAGCTCTTTACACGAGCTGGTTTTTCAGTGGTGGCATGGCAACAGGAAGCAGAACGACGAGCACACTGCGGGAACATGTGCCAGTTAAAAAAGAAGGTGCACAGATGCAGCGGGGCTGCGTCAGTATGTTCCCAAGATTCCGTCGGTTTTTATCAAACCAATGTCCATGTGTGTTCTGAGAAATAGAGGGAATTGATTCAACTGATGTAATTTTGCGTCTTTAGGTGGAGAGGATGGCATCTCTCCATGCAGCACCCCCTCCTCCTCTGGCTGGGAGAGATGTGGCTTCACAGAGGGTGAGTGCAGCACATCAGCCGACACGGAGCGTCTGGTTGTCCCCGGTCGTCTCCTCGGCATCACCGTTGTATCACTCCGAATGTGAAACATGAGCTTATTGACATTGTAGTCGTCACCCTTTCTTGTAAGTGATGAGAGAAATCGACATCATTTTGTGGCTTCTATTGACAAAAGCTGCCTGGACCTTTTAAAAAAAAAAAAAAAAAAAGCCACAAAGGCTCATACACACAGACGTGTTTCACCTGCAGAGGAGACACGGCTGATGGAGAATATTCTGCTGCTCTTAAAGCTCAGTGGGTGTGTTTTAGCTCTTTCAATCAATCAATGAAATTGTGTTTGTATAGCCCATATTCACAAATTATTATTTGTCTCAAAGGGTTTAAAAATGTGCGACTTGCTCTGTCGCCTTTACTACCTGAGACTCATGCTGAGAACAAAATAAAACGTCCCACAGCTTTGTCTCTCTCTCTCTCAGTTCCTTGTCTAACTCTCTAACCATCTCTGTCTCGAAGTCGCTCAAAGGAGTCCGTCTGTGACCTCGGACCAATCACAGAAATCGGTGGAGAGCCTTTTTTCTGCCAGGTGGGTGGTTGGGCGCTGGCTGGCAGCATTAATGTGTTGTGATAAATGCAAGTGCAGGAGCCTCAGCTTTTTTAACGACCGGGTCATAATTGAGCCTGGAATCTCTTAACATCCGTTTCTTTTTGACTTTTAGAGAATGCTGCATTGAGTTTAACGATTCAGAACAACATCAGACTATTTTATGACCAGTCAGGACCGTGTAATTATGCTTTTTGAAACCAAGATAAGAAGCCGGAGCTGCTTTCGGAGACTTTGCTCAGGGCCCAATAATCTGTCAAAGAAAGAAACCAAATGCCAGAATATTTCAATTATGGAGATAATGTCCCAATTTCTCCTCAATACGGAGTTGAGAACAATAAATTCGATGAAATGAGCTGTTTAAAATACGAAAATAGACTTAATATAAAGATGGACGACATGACCGCGCCCCAAAGTCTTCATTGCCCCTTGTCTTCTCCTTAATAGCAGATGGGACATGGACCTAAACTTAAAAGTAGTATTTGAGTTCAATGGGAGGAAGTGGTGGTCGTGTCCTCCATCTTTATTCACAGTCCATATTTCTGTCACGTTCACCATCTTTGCATTTAGCACATTGACAAACCAACTAGCACGGCTCACTACCCTCAGTTGTTTTTATTTAAACTATATGTAAATCTAATTTCCAAAGGAACAATATCCGTCCTGGTGAGAGCAGAAGATGCTGCTGTACATTGTGATTTACATTTCTCTCCTCCGTCAGGTTGGCCCTCAGCAGAACTCGTCTCCTGACTCGAGCTGCCAAAGGCTTCATGTGTCGATCTCACAGCAGGTCTGGTGATTCAATTGGAGAAAGTGACAACGAGAACAAAGACTACATCCCTCTGGTGGGTAGCAAATCTATACAGATCTGTCACTGCATGTTTCTGATGGATTCTAATTTGAGCAGACTGTAGATTTGTCTGGAGAGACGAATGTGTCACAATCTTCTCCACAGGTGTTGTTGCAGTTGGCTAGTGGTGCGTTTCCCCTCGACACAGCTTTGTGTGACGCCATTAATGTTCCCATGGACAAGCTAAAGTGGACGTCCCCCTTCACCAGTCACCGCACCAGCCTCGGCCACTTGTCTCACTCCAGCAGCCGCCGCGCAGAGACTGCTGATTACGGGCACAGATCACCGTGCGAGCCAGAAACATGTCAACAACCAGCAGAGCAAACTGTCGGCATCCACAGCCCCTCTCATCTGCCCAGGAGCGCCTGGACGGAGTTTGCTCCTTCCTCATTGGGAAGTCCCTCCTGTGCTGCCGAGCCCCCCGTCTCCCCACACTCCACCGGGGACAGTGGTCGTAGCTCCGGCTCCGGGGGCCTTGAAGCAGTGTCGCCTGGTGGCGTGCTAAAGAGGAGGCTGAATCCTGAGAGCATGCTGTGGGCCACAGCCGTGGCCCTGGCCTGGCTGGAGCACAGCTCGGCCAGTTATTTCATTGAGTGGGAACTTGTAGCTGCCAAGGCCAGCATGTGGTTGAGTGCGCAGGACATCCCGGAAGGTCGAGATTTAGCCTCCATCAAGGCTGCTGCCAACCAGCTCTTCATCATCCTCAGACACTGGGATGAGAACCTGCAACTGAACATGCTCTGTTACAACCCTAACAGTGTCTGAGCCCCGCGAATACAGACCACCCAATCCCATACGATACTATGCTAACTGAGGCTGTTCTGTTTTTCATTCAGCAGTATGTCTCTGGAGTCTGATTTTTGCTGTCGCAGTTGTGAACAATGTGTATCTTCTTCTTCTGTTCGTGTGCCGTTCCTCCTAAACATATCACAGGCTCTTCAGAGGCACAATGTGCAAGCTATTACCTCGCTGGTGCCATATACTGTAGCTAGATCCCTGTCAGCAAGGGGTCTAATCAGAGTTATGCCTCTGATTTGAGTTTCAAGGAGAAGAATGTCAGTATTAAATTAGTAGCATGCTGGACCGCTGACCATCAACATTTGAGAAAAGCTCTTAAATGTCATCATATTGATGTTAATGGGGAAAATGCTGCAAAAAACATTGGTTGGAGAAAACTGCTCCGCTGATTGATGCATATACTGTTTTTACATCCCCTGATTGTATTGTGAAAAACATCTGGGTAGTTGCTAGCAGTCCAGTCTTTTCTAATGGCTGTCACCATCACAGTGTTCTTAATATTTGCCATTTTGCTGTTCGATTAAAGCAGAGACAGAAAAATATGCAAAAAAGCTAAAGAAAATGTAAAATACGTGTTAAGATTAAGTTTAAAAAATATGTGGCTTAGGTGGGAATCTATAAATGTGTATCCCACTGGCATGTTGTTTATTATTTATGATACATATAGTTTATATTTTTCGTCCTATATATAAAAGTAGAGGTTTGGTCAAGCATTTGTTCTTATATGTAGAGATGAACACAAACCTGGATTCAGTTGCACCGGCTGTTGGCAACTTCAAAATTAGCTTAGTTATAAACTAAATTAAGCTAATTTAATATGTTCATGCCTCACTAATTCAAAGGTGAAACTAATTCTCATATAGAGTTTCTTGGCAAAGAAGGTGAAAGAAAACTACTATTGTTATTCTGATTCTGCCGACCCGCTACGACAACACGACTGATTGGTTCAAACCCCTCAAGATTAATGGGTTTAAGTTCTGGAGTTTGATGGAGCAACGTTTTTCAGAGAAAGCTTTGTATTTTAAGTCTCACCAAATCTACAAGTTTAAGCCATGTCAGAGACGGGAATATGAATTTTGGACATTTTAAAATTTTGTTTTTGGAACATTGGCACACAACTTCACCCAACTTTAATTTTGAAAAACTCTGAGTTAGTGTAAGTAACTCTTACAAAGTCGTATCTGTGTGTACAGAAGATTTAAGTCAATTAAACTCTTGATCCCTTAAACTCTTTAATCAAATCATTAGTTAATGAGAACTAGGAAGAATTTTCCAGACAAACTGAGTCATAGATTAACAAACAGCTGGTGCACCCTGATCCGAAAAATGGGCGGCGACCAACAGTCCTGTTCTGTGAATCAGAGAGGAAAGACTCCCGCTAGTTCAGTCATTGTCACGGCTCATTTACCGCAAGTGCCTAACAAAGGTTTAAAGTCGGCAGAAAATGCAGATCTGTCCGCTGCAGTTCAATCGGTGTTGATAATGACTGATTCTTTTCTCGTGGATAAACAGTGGGGACCCTTTTCTTGATTCTTATTGGTGGCCTGTGTCAGCATCTTTTACATATTGATTTCTCTTAATTATCCCATCACAGTGTTGCTTTACTCAGGTATTCCTTCATTTTTTGGTAACTCAGGCTGAATTGCATAGTACTTCTGCATGGACATGTGTTTATGTTACGGTGTTTAATGAATGAAAAGAGCCTCAAGTGCAGTATTTTGCTCACTGAAACGATACGAGAATTACAGTAGATGTCATATTCTAATATTTTTGTGCCGTAATTGCTGTAGTAAGTGCAGCTGTAGATGTATTATCACGTATTTTTTTATGTACCGGGGCAGTTGTATGGTGCAGTAACTTTCAATTTGCTGTGTGTGCCTTTATAAATGATTGTTGACTGTTTGAGGCTGTTGAAAGCTTCTGTAGTGTCTTTATATCTGTCGATGCATTGACCAGCTCTGCAGGTGCATGTAATAAATAATTCTACAAGCAAAGGTGCATGTTCTGTAGCCATTATTGTCCCTTTACTAACAAGGGGTACCTCAGGGATCAATGCTTGGACCCATTGTCTTTGTAATATTCACCCTCTCCCTTGGTGAGATTATCTGCTCACATCCGCTAAAGTCACTTTGCTGATGATGCCCTGTCCTCCCTGCCAGATGACTCCACTCAACCTGCCCCAGTGGTTTCACAAATTGGATGATGGGAAGCCACTTTCAGCTCAATCTCTCTTAAGACAAAAACCTTCAGTTTGTCCAGTCTGGGCTACTTTAAAAAAGACGACAGCCTCCGTAGAGAGGAGAGAGGAGAGAGGACCCTCTCCAGATGTAAATTTAAAGAATTTAAATATAAAAGGTGAATTCTAGGGTAAAGAAAACAACAATTTGGATGATTACAAACTAGTAAAACCATCACTAAGATTATTTTGTATTTAATTTCTGCCAATAAATCCCTTTCACCTAAATCTTTGTATTAATCTTGACACTTCCCCTCGACCTCCTGCGTAACTAATTTCTATATTCCTACATCGCTTTGGTTTCCATCAGCATTTGCTCCCACACGCAGCTCATTAAAAATCTGTAATTGTAAATAACAATGATCGTGGACATTTCCAGGCGATCCCACAGTGAAAGACATGCTGTGTAATTACTTCTGGTTCAATAGTCAATGTGATTTCAAGGTGACATCAGCTGCAGCACCTGAATTTCTTCCGTGTCACTGTAGCACACACCTCGTCAACAACCACGTCAAGCTGACACAGAGGCCGTTAATGGAGGCGGTGGGCGGGTGGGTGGATGTTGGTGGTCGTGGCGGGGGTGGGTGCAGTAGAATAGACTGAAAACACACCAAGAAAAATAACAGCCGGTCTCATTACTGTGGCGTAAATCACCTCCGTTACCTGAAGTCAAACAGCAAACATATTCCTTTTCTCGAATATCAAACACAAAGGAAAAAGACCTCAGACGAGCTTCGGATCTTATTCTGTTGCTAAGTTACAGCCAATAAAGCAAAAATAAAGTTGTTAGAAATAAATTAAACTCAAATACAGTTTATTCTTATTATATCTGTGTCTTATAAAGCACCTGGTGAGGTGAAAGCCACTGAGGAGGTGCAGCAGAGAGGTTCGTTTTTAGCTTTTAATGAGCTTCCACTGACGCAAACAGGATTTTAATTTAGATTTAAATTGAAAAACATCAACACTATCATTCAGCTTCACTCAAACAATTGTCATCATGTTTCCCCCCCCCACACACACACACACAGGTCTGCTGACAGTTTATCTTGAGCGACAGTTACCTACAATTATACGTTTACATTCCTGCTACTTAATCTCTTCCGGGCGCCAAATGGAGGCGGGTGTCTAATAAAATCCAGGGCCACTATATCAGCAGTTTAATGTGCACGTAAATGGCTGGTTTAAGTAATTGCACTGTCTGGCTGAAGGCTTGTGCAGAGGTAAGTCACAGGGTGCAATAAATGAACGTTGTCTCGACTTTGCGGAGGACGGGTTAAGAGGATGATTAGCAGTTCCTATGGCAACCATTAGTGTTTTTTCTAATGAGGTCAATCAGCAAGTAAGTGCTGCAAGGAAAATGATCTGGATGACGTTTGTTTTGCTTTGGTCCCAGATGTAATTTCTTTATCTACTATAACAAACTTATTCTCTACTGACTCTTCATCTTCATGAGACGGTCGAGGCTACGGAGGAGGATTTCTGATTTTCATCACCAGCTCGTCTCAGCCGCCGCTGTTGCATCGTTAGCTAGTTTCAGTGGCTGCACTTTCTGTAGCTCAGCCAACTATAGCTGCAGCGAGCTCGTTAGCTTTGTCACCCGTGTGCAGTAATCCTGAGATGGGTTTCCCTCAGAAAGAACCAGTTGTTTGAAAAAGGACAGTTTAGTTTCGCTGCTGCGACGCAATCAGTCTTTGAATGCAACCTGCGGAGGACGAGGCCCCCGAGACACAGCAATATTTTTAAATAAGGAGCTTTAAAAATGTTAAATTAAAGTTTTAAATCACATTATTGATAGTTTGGATTAAACTCACAAGATCAGTTAACATTTGATTCGATACCCTGGCTGGGTGCGTGCAGGACAATGTCACAGATTGTAAATAAAGACAGACAAAGTGTCTCCACCTTGAGGACTGAAGCTAAAATATCCCAAATACAAACAATCTTGTATATTGGAGCCAGGAGCAATCGGGTTTGATGGAGCCACGGTAGCGAAGCCAATCAGTCTGAGCCGTCAGCCATGACACTTCACTCATTCATTAATGTGATTAAAACATATATTTCATGTGTTAACAGTTCAGGTGGTCACGTTTGTGACGTTGCTCTGTTTTATTGAAGTCTTGCCGGGCGTCAGCAGCTCGATCAGGGAGAGTGACAGCAGGTTTGCGTGATCAGGTCTCTGAGAAAGGAGGAGCTGGGCGGACTCAAGCTGACGGAGAACGGGTGAAGTCTGCTGCGTTGGATTTCAGTTGAGTCAACTTATTGCAATGATCTTCTGTATGAGTGCAGGTAGATTGAGTTGTGAGGTCCGCAGTAGAGCAGAGTTCAAACGTGGTCTTGTCCTGAGTGTGGTTCCTGTTTGTTTCTCTGTTTAGCTCAGCTTAAACTTACCAGAGCAGGTGGTAGGTTCCAGGCAGGTGAGGCTATAAAGCTAAAGGCCAGTCAGCAGTGAAGGGGGGGGGGCAGGGCAGCAGCTTGTGGTGAGGCTGCAGAGTTTCTAGTTTTGTGCTGTTTCTTTTTTTTCTTTCTCTGATGTGATTTGGATTTGTTGTGTTTCCCAGGAATCTTTTTGTCTTTAAGTTGTAGAACCTTTCTGTAAATAAACACATTTAAGTGTCTCAGGTTTCTGCTACTTTCAGTTTGCAGCTGCAACAAAGGGATACATGTTCAATACCTGACTTTGGCCCCCAGGGGTCTCTCAATCAAAACAATGACAAAAGACCTAGTTTGATGATGTCGTGAAGCAGCGTGGGATCATGGGAGTTGTTGTTTAGATGAAAATCTGCCTGATGTGTCTCAGGAGCAAATGGTTCATGGATGTTTTAAAGTTTTACTTACGTTACGATCGTAATGATCCAGTAGTTATGTTTATCCAGTTATGAAATCATCGCTGGTTTATAAATTAATTCCATTTTGTCCCGATAACGATAAAATGATAAATGATCAAATCAATGTGTCAGAAATATACAAGTCATCAAAACACATAAATAGACCAGTTTTCTTCACACACTTATATATTGTGAATTTATTGGTTGAATCGTCTGAATCCTGCACGTACTGGCACCTCTCTTCTATAAATCCCAGTCTCTTATATATTGTATTACTCCGTACTGTAAGTAGTAAATAATAAACAGCTCCTCTTCTCTCTCCTAATAGACACTGTGTGTTTTACTCTAGCTCAACAAACCTTGAAGACTCTCTGTCGGCTGGCTGAGACTCAAGGGTTTGACTCAAGGACACTTGAGCTGCACTGGAGACTCTCGCTGACACTGAGCATAAGGCTCTTTATTTGCATCTCGGCTTTAGAAGTGAGTCGGTCTTAATGTTTGTGTACAACAGCCGCCACAGACTTCTGAACCAACACATACTGTAGACGCCAGGATGTTAATCGGCTCAGTGTCGCCGGCAGAGTTTAAAAATCTTACACAGTTAAACAACTAACGTATCAGTGAAGATTTACAGTCATCCAGGTAATCAGAGGTTGCACAAGAGCACGTGGGCAACACAAGCAAGTCTTTTGAAAACACTGTTCAACTTCTTTATGCAGACAAACTTTCACTCTTACATTCACACCTACAGTCAATTTACAAGCTCCAATGAACCTGAACCTAATGTGTGCTTGGACGGTGGGAGGACGCTGGAGAAAACCCACGCAGACAAGGTGAGAACATGCAAACAATTGGGATTTGAACCAGAACTTTCTCCATCCCGCCTCCAGCTTTAAAACAGCAGCTTTGAGATTAGTTTGAAGGTTCAGTTACTGTGGTGAGAAGAATATATTTATTCTTCTCACCACTTTTTCAGGCGGAGATATATTTTTATTTTCATTTTGACGCTGTTGTGTGTTAGAAGCGACATCAAGCTCAGCCCCGCTCGCTCACGGGGAATCCTCCGGAGTCGCTGCTTGTTTTTATATCAGCAGGCCAGGCGGAGAAAGTCCACAGAAACTCCGGAGGCTCCCACTCTTTCACAAATGCAGCCCCTGCGGAGAAACCCCGGAGGTTCTCCGGAGTTCAGTGCGAATCTGAAAGCAGCGACATGGCGTCGCTTTGATAAGAAGATTCAGGTGCTGGTTTCCGTGACTGTCGGAGCAGATTACTCAGTAATCATGTGCCGGTCACATCAGTGTCCGCCTGATTATTTTGAGCGTTTGAGGAAGAAACGTGTCCGACCTGATTTACAGGCTCGTGCTGCTGTCGACTGCCGTTTGAGCTCCGAGGATCTGAAACACGGGCGATCGGTGCATGTGCAGGAAAATGTGATTCTCCTTTAAATTGCTAATGGCCTTCATCCCAGAGTAAAGGGTGAGCGGCAAACATCTCACCTCCATCATTAAGCCTGTGTACAGCTCTTATCATGCGGTTCTTGCACGGGCCTCTTAAGTGGAGAATAATAGAGGGAATGTCTTTGATGGTTCAGTACAGTGACAGCTCCTGCTGCTAAATTGACGTGTTTCCATGGTGTCGGACCAGAGCTGATGCTTTCATGTTTAGCAGCACAATGAGAAACTGATTTGTTAATGCGCAACTAGTGGCTGAACGAGTGTTTTCATGAGTGCGATCTTGAGGTTTATATATCGTTGCTTGATCTCTGTAGTCAAACTTTTAAAAAAAGATGAAGTCAGAGCCCCGAGGTAAACATCTGGAAATAGAGATTTTCTGATAAGCACCATTTATAAAAAGGTCCATAAGCTGTTAATGCATTTATCAGTAGTAAATTGATCATTGTGTGTTTAGATATAAGCAATTAACAGGAAACAGCTGCAGCACATTTGCACAAAAATACATTTATAAACCACTAAACATTCACAGTTGCACATTCGTTGCAATAATTAATAACAATTAAATAATTTTAACATAGTTTGAAATCACAGAGAACGTTTATGGTAAAAGCAGTTTTTATTATTTTAAAGTTTAAGGTTCCAACTTAGAATCGGCACCAGATGATTTAATGGATTCTTTTTTTGGAGCTATGTCACATCCTTCCTTCTTGCTTACAAACAAACAAACAATTAACAAATGAACACGGCTGGCGGAGAAGAAGTAGCTGCAGCTCAGTTAGGCCTGGTGGTAAATTGGCTTTTATCAGCGTCAATACATGCAGCAGGAAGGAGAGAATAATACTCTGATTACACTGTATATCTGACATTTAGCTCAGCATCAGCTCACTGCTGGAAAATAGATCCGTGGGCCGGCCACTGAATACTAATGTAATGTTAATGCCACGGTCCCAGAGTAACGTTAAATAATACAACTGAGGTTTCGTGGCATAATGTGGAGATAAGATGGATTTTTTTCAGTGAATAACACAGAATAATTTGAAAGCACAGAGGACCAGTGCTCAAACTGAGTAACAGTCGACCTCCCCTGGAGGTGGATGTGCCTCCCTGCCGGCATTAAATTGAATCGAGCAGAAGAATTTTCTCGTGGTCTGTCTTCAAAAGCTGAAACTCTGCTCGAGGGAATCATCTGGTTTATGAAAAAGCAAAAGGGAGAAATAAAGGTTGATGACTGTAAAAATGAAATGTTCTTTTCATGCACAGGCAGTTTGCAGGAGTTAAAACAGCTGCTTTCACTGGGGGAGATTTTGGCTCTGCATTTTTATTTCTCCTCTAAATCCTGCGCCCCTGATGTTCTCAGGCTCACAACCCCCTCTCCTGGCAGAAAGCTTCCTCTCAGTTTCCTCTTTAATTTGCACAGTGACTGTGACAGTTTGTGTCATCGTTTGTCTTTAATGAGAATTTAGAGTGAGTTCATTTGACGATCTGATGATTTAAGAGTTCGTCCCAGAACCAGTGCTCTTTGGTTTACACATTTTTCACACATTGCTTTTATTATCAGGTGGATAATGAAAACAGAAGCACAGGACCAGGTCGGCCGGCCCACGTCTCTGCAGAACTAGACGGAGCTTAGTACAATTAATCCCCTCCAACACCTCTGATCACCTGATCTCACGCTTTACACTCTGACACAGAAATGTGAAGCACTTAAAAAATGATTGGAAAAACCTGTTCACATTTTCAAATCAAGTTTTGAGACTAAAAGAACAAAATATGCTCAAAAATCCTGAGATGAACGTGATTGTGAAATGGATTGAGTCTTGCAACAGCAGAGACATTTGTAGAAATGATCATAAAGTTACTAAATACATTAACTCAAATGCAGTGAAGCACGTTTTCATACTTCCGTTTTATTATGATTGTTTCAATTTACATGAAATAAAATAAATAATGAGCTTATAAAGTGATAACGTGACTTTGTCATGTTTTTAGTCATACACTTTTGATTCACATTACTTTAACATGTATTCAGATGCTTTTAATTGCATGTTTTCTTTCTTTCCTCTTTCTTAGCAATGACTTATCTGATCAGAATTCATGTGTATAGAGAAAAAAATGTCATTGTAACACAGGCTGAAAGAAGGAATTTAATTTTCTTTATCAAGATGAAAGAAGGGATTCCATTTTCTTTATCAAGATGAATTATACTTTCCAAATATGATTCCACCATTTCATGGGGAAGAAAAACAAAACATAAACTGCAGCTATTAATCATCTCGAGCCGCAGACGACAGTTTGTGAAGGACGTGAGTGTAAAATGCTGAGTATAGTCTCTGTGTGTGAAATGGCCACATTAGCTGTTGTACAGAGGCACCACTCTGTCTATAGTTGCCCTGCAGATGGGGCATTTCTTTGGCTGTGGCAGGCCGTCGTAGCACTGAGCACACGCACACACGTGGCCACACTCCAGGAACACGCAGGAGCGCTCCTGGCTCAGGCACACAGTACAGCTGGTGGGCGACACGCTGCTTTCCTCGATGTTAAGTTCACGCATGCGTTTCTTCTGCTGCTCCTTGAATTCCTCCAGCATGCTCTTCTCCTTCCTGCTCTGCTTGTGAAGAACGTATCTCTTCCACAGGATGTAGATGAAGATCGAACAGGCGGTGACGCCGGAGACGAGAGCCAGAATCCTCCACAGTCTCACACTCTTCGCCTGCTTCTTCAGGAGAGACTCGTAGTCCAGCCGGGTGAGGAAGTAACGGAAGCCCTGCTTTGGAGGTTGGAGCTTGATGAGGTTGTTGTCCAGCACCAGCTCTCCCACCCCCGTGACGCTGTCTCCCACCCGCAGCATCTCCTCGGTTTCGTGGATGCCCTTGGGTCGTTCCCCGCTGATGAAGTGGCCAATAACACTGGACAGGGACTGGACTGTTGGGTGGAAGTTCTCGTAGGTGGTCTCCAGGTCCAACTCTGCAGCGTCCAGCGGACGTATAACCCGCACAAACGCAGAGACGTCCTCATCGTGAGACCCGAGGGCAAATGGGACCGTGTTGGTGCGCTGGTGGATGACTTTCTCTGTGCTGTTCCTGTTCAGAAATATCCCAGTTACTAGTGTTTATTTAAAGGCTGCAACACATTATTGTTCAATTAGTGATCATCAATCAGTTGATCGGTCCAAAAATTCCCATCACAGTCTTGAAATGTTTTTGTTTGCTCAACAGACTTTTGATGGACTAATGACGGAGAAAACAAAAAGTATTGCAGATGCCGGAAGAAGCAAATCATATGTGTGTGTGTCTGTCACTTTAAAATCCAAATGAAATCACATTTAATTGTCCATTTTAACATGGAGTGTCAACAGTGTCTTATTCTTTTTACCCGACTGACGTTGGCTGAATCAAGCCTCAGTGATTCAGAGAATAAGTGATTTACAGAGCAGGTCATGATTGCTATTAAAAAAAAAAATTCATTTCCGTTGCACTTTAACACAACAGCACTTGAGAGCTAATAAGATCTTGGGGTGTATTTACCACATTCAGACAAGCATTACTCTCGATGACGTACTTACCAGAGGTGGGTGGTGCGGTTCCACACCATCTTCTCCTCCTTCAGCGTCAGTCTTTCAATGACGCCTTTGCAGTTATCAACAAACTGACTACTCAGAGTTTCCTTCACATTCCTCACGGCACCTGCAGTGTGCGATAAGTGAAAAATATATAAATATACATGCTTGATTTAATAGAATAGGTTAGGGGTTATTCCGCAGATAAAGGTTTTGACTGATTGAAAAGACAATATGTTTATTTCAGGCTCAACTCACCTTCTATGACTGCGTAGGGGACACATCTACCCGGAGTTTCAGACAGGATGTTATTCAAATCCTTGTCAATGGATACTTTCTTGGCTTCCTGTCGAGACAAACTTTGAAGATTAACACGTGGAAAATAAATTCACACACTGGTGACATTAACGGGACAGAGACGGAGTGAGCAGAAACGTGGCCGACCTTTAGTCTGGCAACCGTCGTCGCTCTGTTCTTGTAGATGGTGTAGAAGAGGCCGGTCAGGGCGGAGCTGGTGGCTAAAACCACTATCTGTGCAGTCGAGGGTTTCCCACCGGAGTCCATCCTGCGATCCGCAGCAGTGCTGCTGTAACAGATTTATCATTTTAAACGCTGCCTTTCAGAGGGATCATCATATCACAGGCCATTTAAAACGAATGCACAACTTTGTTCATCTTCAGTTATTGATCTTTGGCTTCAGTACTCGGTTACATGTGTCCTTCAAACACCTTGTAAATAAATATCTGTATCGTCACGATCTCCATTAGCACATATGTCTTTGACTGATTTTGACCTTTCATTATTCTTATGTTGTTGTGTTTGACTGTTTTATGTGATATTGGATGCCCACATTTCCCTCTGGATCAATAAAGTATCTATCTATCTATCTATTCATCAGTCTATCTTTCTATCTATCTATCTATCTATCTATCTATCTATCTATTCATCTATATATCTATCTATCTATCTATTCATCTATCTGTCTATCTATCTTTCTATCTATCTATTCATCTATCTGTCTATCTATCTATTC